GTTTAAAGTGCTTTATAAATAAATTGGTATGGTATGGTATGGTATTTCAGGACTCTTAGGTTCTCTTAGTCGCTATTCTTGGCCATTCCTCGACATACCTCAAGAATGTTTATGGATCTTACTGGAGGACATTGGCTGATTATTACATTTTTATCAGAACTCTTACAATGCCCTCGAGAGCATCTTGAAATGCTCACCGCTCTCGTCGTCCCCTTCTGCAGAATGCCTATGTCACTATGTACTTGTTTGTGCAAGGTGTTTTTTAATATCAGATTTTTTTCTTCTCAGGCAGGAAAAAAAAAAGTCTGATAGGAATTTTTTTGCCTCCAATTCCTACATGTGTCCAGTTTACCACTTTTATTGTCTGTCCAAAAAGGTCTCACTTGTAAATGAGTCTTTGAGGCTCAATGTGACTTATCTGTTTAAATAAAGGTTGAATGAATGAATGAATAATCCGGGTCAGGCTCCGAGTTCGGGCTCCGAGTTCGGGTTAGATGGATGAGATGTCAAAATATCTGCAAGAGTACACTTCAGCTGTATACAACAGGAAGTGATATAAAGATTTCTACAGGAGTAGAAATACCAGTTGGTGTTAAAAGCCTGTTAAAGAAGTGGAGAATTGCTTGCTCTGTTGATACAGTCATGATCAGGCAGTTGATCAGTAGTTTCCACTTTAAAAAAAGTTAAGACACAAATAAGCACATTCCAACTCCTTCAGTTGAAATACAAAGTTCTCTGTGAGAAAGTGGTTCAGCTCTTCAAAGGTCCACAATAAAAAGGAACTCAATCAGAAATGGTCTGCATGGGTGGGTTGCTAAAAAAAATACTATTACACACCACTGCCACATTGGCTGAGTGCAATACACCATATAAGAGCTAAACTTTTGAACAGGGATTATCTCATTATTTCCTTATTGCTACATTTTCTCTAATGACCGTACATTTCTGTGAAGCCTAATGGTTTAATTTAAATCCCATAAAATAACCGTAATGTGTTTTCCCCTGACCACTTCTTTTTTTTTTTCTTGACGGAATTAAGATTTTTTTTTTTTAAAGTATACCTGCTTTTGGTGATATGGAGTCAGTTGCTGGTGTCTGCAAATTGTGCAAATGAGATGTGGACTGCAGAGAAATCAGGATTAACGCTGATTTCCTTCCCTGTTCACACTCTTTTGTTATGTTCTGCTCAAGCAGCCGCAGTATGCTAATTTTATTCCAATTCATTTGATGCATATATGATGGATAAAGTCTCTCCTTGCAATATTGTTGTGAAGGGCATTCTTCACTATTGATTCTCATTCTGTTTATATTTTTTTCTTGATTCAATTAGTCACCACCAGTGTTGGGGAACAGATAAACCGCCATGCTGGCTTATTGACTGATTTCCATCTCTTCTTCTTTGCCCCATGAATATTTATAGAGTCTGCTGTTGAGTGTTTGAATAATTATTGCATAATAATATCCACTTGCACCCAAGCTTTTACTTTGATATCACTCAGTGAAAACTGATCAGGCTCCAGTGCCTCTTGGGCTGCTTAGAGTGTCCAATCCTAGGAGGAAGATTAGATGACAATTTGCCTCTGAAATGGTAGTACTGGTGAAACCTCTGACGCTTGCTGGTTGATGTATATGGATGTGTCAGGAAGTTGCAATCTTCTTTGATTTATATTCTCTGGCATGTTAACCTTGCAAAGCTGTTCCAAGCTCATGTGACATAAAATGACAAAACCACATTTTTTCTTGTTCCTCCCACCCCCTCCTTGTTGAGACATCTCCTCAAGGGGACAACCTGACATTTTTAAAGTCTGTCATTTTGCCTCAGCAGGCACTTATTGGATTGGGAGTTTTGTCCTTCAGTCGCCCTATAAATGTTTATTCTTTGCATAGCACAGCATGCATATGTTGGCTTGCAAATAAAAACAATCATCTGGGAGGAGTTTTGCCATCATGTTTGTGAATATAAATAAAGACCGTTGCCATAGAATGGACTTGGTTATGTCCTGCATTAGTATTAAATGCATATTTTTGTATTTTGATTCCAGGGCTTTTAAGACGTGTTATTCAAAGGTCCAAGTATGATTTCTAGATCAAGTTCATGGTCCAGAACAATCAGCGAAAAGCATTTTTTAAAATTTCCTTAAACTTTCAGCCAAAATTTGGAATAAAAAAATTGCCTACAGTGGTTTGTTTGTGAACCTAAATACAGAATTTGATTAGGTTGTGACTGTTGGTGACTAGTTAGACTATCAGGGGTGTCAAACTTTGTTACAACAGGTGGCCTGTTAAAATGGCTAAAATTTAAAACTTGGTTCAAACCAAGGGTCAGTTTCAATCAATATATTATATCAAGTCTAACATGGTTAAGTCAGGTTCCCTGGGCAGATTCTTCTTTGTTGAAACGTTTCGTCTTTTATCCAAGTCATGAAGTCTTTTGGATAAAAGACAAAACATTTCAACAAAGAAGAATCTGTCCAGAAGACCTGACTTAACTTTGTTAGATCTTTCTACCTGGATTACTGAGCATGCATCAGGACATTATCTCAAGTTATTTGACATTCTTTGTTGCTCTTTCCACATCAAAATCAAAGATTACTGGAAAATTTTTAACCAAATTTTCTTGACTTCAAAGTTGACCTACTGTCTGTGAGACGTCAGCACTAAATAAAGCATGCAAGGTTTTAAGGCAAAATGAGAGCCGATTAAAAGATACTGTATGTTACATCATCTTGAGGGCCACTTAAAATGTTAACAAGGGCACATTAGCATTGTGGAGATGGATTAATGTTGTATAAATATGTGTCTGGATGGGTAAATGAGGGTAAAGCACTTTTAGTATCATGGTTGGACAGATAGGTGCTATATACATATAATCCATAAACTATTTGCATTTAATTTCCTCTCACGCATCACTGAGTCCCACAGTGTATTCACTTCAATTCTGAACATATTCAAAAATTTGTACAACTAATTTTTTTCTCAGGAATCTCAGACCTGTCTCAGTTTAGTTTCTGTGAAATCTATACTCTATAGCAGAGTTTTGACACCTGCATGTGAGCTCTCTTGTGACAAAAAAAACCATCCAGTGCTACAACCCTGAATGTACACTTCTACAATCATTAACATACTGAACCAAACATGCATATTATCCTTGTAAAAGTGTATTCCAGTATATTGAATTGTAAATGTTGGGGCAGTAGCTAAGGTGAATGCAAAGTGGGCTTAGGAAGGTATACTGTGGGCATTGTGAGCAGTAAAATAATGTGCATGACCTACAATACAGTTTTGCAAGCTGTGCACACAAAAATAGTCAGTAGTGATCAAAAATTGTCTGGTCAGATTGTGGCCACACAGCTAGTTGGTCGCTTTGTCACAAACGCATAATTTAGTAAGACTGCAACAAAAACGTTGTCTGTTTTCTAGCAACTTTGAGTTGCCAACTAGTCACTAACTGGTCTCCTACAGTCACAGCCTAGTGTACTAACTTAAGTTTTAACTTTTAATATCCATCCATCCATTATCTTTACCCGCTTATTCCATTTTGGGTCACGGGGGTCGCCGGTGCCCATGTCCAGCAATCACTGTGCGAGGGGCGGGGTACACCCTG